GTCACTGTAAGATTTAAATTTCTTAATGCACTAGTTTGTAAAAACTACAAACTACTTTGCCACAAACCACAAAACGCGCAAAACCATGATTTAAATAGGGTGTCTCCAACAGTTTTGCACCTGCCACCAGTTACACATTCGCTCTTGTTAAATCACCCGCAAACCATGGTTTAGCCACTCGTGCAATATTTCAGTTTGCCAGCGCAAATTACTGCACGCAAAATTGGATCTTGATAAATCCGGCCCTAAATGTAAAGATCCAGTTACACAGATCTACTATAATTTAATCATTTCATGGAGACCACTAATTAAATGTTATTTGATGTTCTTTGAAGCTACCGTAAGTTGTTATTTTAAATAATTTCTATAGCGACAATTTCTAACAGGTAAAGTTTTTTTAAGGAACACAGTAGGTTAAATTTGTACCAACAGTTTACATCCAGGTTGAGGTTGGGAACATTTTACCATATTTATTCCAGTATATTTAAATCAATACAATTGTAAAACAACATTATTAAATTCAAAACATTATAAAGCAATTCAGAAAAAGGCTCTCTATGGAAATAAAGAGGTTATATGGACATTTTTTTTACAGCAAAGAAGGTCTTCAAGAAAACTTTTATAGAAAGCCATCCATAGTTTTTGATATGGAAAATATGGATTACTGCTCAAGGCACCATTTTGTAAGAGGGAGGCAAGACCAGTAGTAAAAAATAGAATAACAAAACTCCAATAAAAATGAAGCCGCAAGATGCGCTTGGGGGCCCTAGCAACTCAGCGTCACTTGGCCTATAGTGGTTGTGGATCGCTGAGTCTGCATGTCACTTTCTGTTGTTAGTCAAGGAAACTAATATCACAAAAAAATTGTACAAGCATTTGTTGAACAGTGTTTAATTTGTAGGCGCACACATTTTGGAGCAGATATGATAAAGTATCTGGGATATATAGTTATTTACATACTTTACTGAGCACAATCAAGTCAAAAAATATAATCCAACAGCTCATTTACGTATATCCACTTTGAAGCAAATACAATAATACGTATGTAATTTGGATCCAAACATTTGTAAATGGTGAGAGATGGAAATTCAAAACTGTGCCAAGTCCACAAAGTTTAGTGAGCACTGATTTTTCAGACCAGGATTTATCATCACCTTGTTCTCTGCCATTAGACTCAGATTGTAACTTGCATGAGTGAGAGTGTAAAGGGAGGACCTCCACCAGTAAGATATTAGAATTCCTGTTTGAAGGGGTTGGGACTAATGTGATGTCATCAAATTTTCATGCCAACTTGTTTAACAATGATCCATGTGGAAACACGCAATTTGGAACAGATGTCGTGATTCATTAGTGGGATATGGTTGTTTACATATTCTAGGAGGGACAATTGAGTCAAATTACAATGTAATCAAACAGGGTTCTTTGTAATACCAAAGATAATTTCTTTCCAATTTTGAACTAAATCATATCTTGCACATATGATTTGGAGGCAAATGTATGCAAATGGAAAGGTACACATTTTACATTCTGTCATCCCTGCAATGTTGAGCCAGCAGTCATTTCTCAGAGAGATCCATCAATACCTTATTTCCTGCATTCAGACACAAATTAAAACTTTTATGAGTGACAATGTAAAGGCAGGACCCACAGCAGTGAAAAATGAGACTTCCTGTTCTAAGGGGGCATGGGCAAAGTAATTACAATTTGAAACTGGACGTTGGCTGGAAGGGCTTGTCTAATCCAATCATTCTAGGTTAGGCTGCAGGTGCTGGGACTCTGCCTGCTGGTGCAACTGCCATCTGAGGCGCTCTGACAGTCTCCTCACTCTGGCTGCTCTCTGTTGTCGTGGTTGCAGTACTAGTGTCCTTCTTCACTGGTGGTGGTTTTCCCAAAAAATCTTAAATCCGTTT